AACAAAATACTTCATACACTCTTGAGGACTGATACAAGAGTTACCTAGAAGTTTTCAAACGAACTTTTTCAAAACCCACACACACTTGAAAAGCAAACAACATTTTTGAAAACATAAGAGCAAGTACCTAAGAGCCCGTGGATAACCACGGATAGAAAGGGTGCTAACACCTTCCCTTTCTATAAATCTACCTCCCGAACCGAGAGAAATCTCAAAGAAGGAATTTTGATGTGCTTTTGTCCTTTCCATTTTGGAGAACATAAAAGACGGTGGAGACTCTTGCTTACCGCGACATTTCGCGAAACCAGCTTAAAAAACAGTCAGTTCTATTTCCACCGATCACAGTTGTCACCTTCATGTCAAATCTCTTAGGTAGAGACCTGAGAATTTTTCTATCCAGCTTTGCTTCTGAGATCTTCTCCCCCAAGGCACTAGATGAGTTTCTTCTCTCAAGAATATTCATGTGAAAGTCATGAATTCTTTCATCATCTTTCATCTTTAGATTCTCAAATCTGGTAATGAGAAGCTGAATTCTGGACATCTTCACTTTAGATGTGTCGTCATAAGTGGTTCTGAGAATTTTCTAAGCATCTTTGGCCACAGTAAAAGTGTTTATTAACCTGAATATGCTTTTGTAAACTCCATTAAATAGAGCATTCAAAGCTTTGGAATTTCCAAGAGAAAATTCATCTTTATCTTTAGACTAGTCCTATTTTGGCTTCAAAGTCTCCTTCCCATCTTTGTCCTTCTCAACAGGATGGTCCCAACCCTTTATGACAACTTTCCAAGTTTTGTTATCCATATATTTTTGGAATGCCACCATACGAGTCTTAAAATAGTCATAGTTGGTGTCATCTAAGACTGGTGGTTTTTATTGAATCCTCATTCCTTGTCCATGGTACCAGAAATTATCTTCCCTGGAGCTCACCCAAAATAGAACAGGGTGCCTACTCTGATACCAATTGAAATTCTTGTATGAAGATATCAGATGTTGAACTAGATGTCACGACACTAATATCAGATCAGTCACAACAACAGGAACAATTATGCAAGGTAAACTGCTGAAATTAAATAACACTGATAATTATTAACCCAGTTCGGTGCAACATCACCTACATCTGGGGGCATCCAAGCTAAGGAGGAATTCCACTAAAATAGTATTAGTTTGAATCCTAAGTAAAAAAACATATGGTTCACCATTAGATATTTTGCATGATGTCAAAACTGGGAAAACTTAGCATTTTGTATATTGGACGGTATCTCTATGTCATGTGGCACTCCCTTGCATTAGGGGTCTTAGGAATCATTAAAAACCGCTTTGAAATTGACCAAAACCTTGAAAATCATTTTTCTGCATAAGAACAGCTTGCATGTGCTGACACATACGTGTTTCAGGCCGGCACATGTAACTTAATAATGAAGCATATAGCTTATGTTTGCTACAGGATGACACATACTCTAACTTTTTATTTTATGTGTCGGCACATATGATTTTTAGGCCGGCATATCTACTGCAGTATTAAAGCTTGTAGCTATTGTCTTATATAGTCTGGCACATGTGCCTTTTTAGGCCGACACGTATTTTTTATTTTTGACTTATGTGTCAGCACATACGTATTTCAGGCCAGGCCATACTATTTAATTGGATCAATTTTTCAATTCTTTTTAATTCCGAAAATTACCTTTTTGCATACAAACTTCCACAACTATAAATATATGATTCATGCATCATTCCAACTTGATGAAATTATAAACACTTACTACATTTTATCTTCACATTCAACCTACAACCTATGCATACACACTGACAAATCACACATAATCATCTTTTGTCAGGGTTTCATCTAGACGAGGTTCGATAACGTCCAATTAGGTTTTGTTGTAACCGAGAATATTGGTTGAGATTTATAGGGGGGTTCATCCGGAAAAACCTAGGGTTTATCCTCCAATATCTTTGGAAGATTTGGGGGTTTTGTTCAAGACTTTCAAGAGAGGATTGCGGCCAAGTGAAAAGCCTTCGGAGTTTGGTACCTTAGGAAGTAGAGAGGGAACGGTGAATCTAATTGAAAGTTCTTGTTTTCAATAGATAAAATTGATCGTGTGCGAAAGAGATTTGGATTTTGGCACCCAAAGAAGTGACACGACTCGATAAATCAATTGCAATTGTAATTGAAGCTAGCGCGAGAAAGCTAACGTGATATTCTTTTCAATAAATAAAAATTTGTTGGCAAGAAGTGATTTAACAATAACGTGATTATGTAAATGAATTGTAATTATGTTGTTCGGTTTGTGAATTGGTGTTGGGTGTGAATAATATTGTTTGGCTTTATTTGCTATGTGTTATTGTGATGTGTTGAATTGAGAATGTTATGAATATACTACTTGAATTTTGTGTAGATGTATGTTGTGAATTGAAATTGGATGAGAATAAAATTGTTGGGCATTGTTTGCTATATGTTATTGGAGTGTGTTGAATTGAGAATGCTATGAACATAACATTTGATTTTGTGCAATTTTGTGAAGATAATTCAAATGTGTGGAAATATGTGAAATATGATTGTATGATTAAGATATGGGGATGGTCTTAATTGCGTATTTATGTTGAGATTGCACACGCATCATTTGTGTCAAGAGGAAATATTTGGTAATTCTGTGGGAATGATTGACTTATCCCAAACCTAACGCCGAATGGGGTTTGAAAGCGTAAGTCTGAATCGAGCTTTTATTGGTTGTTATCTGTCTGAGGGATGGACCCGGATGGATCGGTAAGGATAATATTTGGTACCACATTCATATTGCATTGAGTTGAATTAGAGTTACATGTGTCGATGTGAAATGTTGAATTGGTGTGCATTATGTGATATTGGGGTAAATGTTACTTTTATGGTAATTGTGATTGGTTATCTTTGAATCTTGAATCATTGAGCAATGTTGTATATGTAATCATGTGAATTGTGTTGAAGTATGTTGAATACATGATTATGTGAAGTGTGATGAATTATTTTAATGGATATTGTGATTCATTACTTATTATTATATATTTCTATATGACATCGCTCAGGTACCTAAGATAGTGGTGCTTCTAGAAAGGAGTAGTTGAAGGAGCTAGTTCTTATTTATCTGTTTTACTAGGTAGTGAGTCATGCTCTGGTCTATATAACACGGGGGAATGTTTGGATTCATGTAATTTTATTATATTCATGTTTACTTGAGATATGTTGTTATACTCTCTATATATTTATGTTTGATTGAGATTGTATGTGGTGATGGCCTATAGTGCCTAATATTTTATGATATGATTGTCAGTATGGGATTTCAATAATTTGTATTATTTTGAAAAAGAATTATTCGGATGCGAGATGCATATTTGTTATTGTATGGATAATGATTCTAAATATGTGTTATGATCATGACCAGTGTATTTGTATTTCTTGAGTTTCGTGAAGTAAATGTGACGCCCTCGTTTATATGCATGCTAATTTACTCTGATTATGCCATATTATTGCACGGGGGGTTTAGAGGGTGTTACATTAGTGGTATCAGGGCGTGTTCGGTCCGTCCGACTAGGTTGTCTAATATTGTTTGTTCCTTAATACGCAACATGTGTGTGAAACACTGTTGGTACTTGCATGTTTTTCTAACTACTTGGTTGCAGGAGTGGGTTTAAAACAAGTGGGGGAAAAGCTTTGCTTCCCTGATATGTTTATGGTGTGAAGAGTTAGACTATGGTACTTTAGATGGATTTGATCACAATAGAAACACGATTATAGTTTTCTAACGATAGCTTATGCTCCACTATGGTTGTCAACAACCTATTAACAAATTGAAGAACTGATCACCCTTAATCTCTTTTTGATAGTAGACAAGATCGTACTGGATTAGATAGGCTTATCTTTCCAGTTTGATAATATGTAAAGTGAATAAGTCGGTGCAGGATGACACCATGTTGTTGGCGTTGATGGCAATGTTGGATATTTGTGAGAAGAGAGGGATAGGTGAATTAAAAATAGTTTGTGATTTTTCTAAGGTATTTCTTGAAGATGTAAGTGATTTGATGTTGGAGCTTGAGGTGGAATTTACGATTGACTTAGTTCCTGGAACTAGTCCGGTATCGATGGCTCCGTGTCAGATGTCAGCATCTGAATTGAAAGAGTTGAAGAGTCAACTTGAGAATTTGCTTGAGAAGAGATTTATTCCTTCTAGTGGGTCACTGTGGGGTGCACCAGTTTTATTGGTTAAGAAGAAAGAATGTACTATGAGGTTATATGTGAATTATAGACAACTGAACATGGTGAATATCAAGAATAAGTATCCACTTCCGAGGATTGATGATTTGATGGATCAGGGGTGCTTTTGTGTTCAGCAAGATAGATTTGAGGTTTGGGTATAATCATATTTGTGTGAAGGTTGAAGATATCCAGAAGACTGCTTTTAGAATAAGGTATGGTCATTATGAGTATTCTGTGATGTCGTTCGGTGTGACCAATGCACCTGGTGTATTTATGGAATACATGAATAGGATTTTTCATCAGTATTTGGATAAGTTTGTGGTTGTGTTCATTGATGATATTTTGATCTATTCGAAGAGTGAAGAAGATCATGTCGGAACACCTAAGGATTGTGTTATCTGTGTTGAAAGAGAAACAATTGTATGCTAAACTTTCTAAGTGTGAGTTTTGGTTGAAGAAAGTTAGTTTCCTTGGTCATGTGATATCGAGTGGTGGTATTTATGTTGATCTGTCGAAGATTGAGTCTGTGACTCAATGAGAAGCTCTGAAATCTGTTCTGAGATTAGAAGTTTTCTTGGTTTAGCAGATTATTATCAGAAGTTTATTGAAGGCTTTTCCAAGTTGTCATACCCCAAATTTTTCCGCCCTTTATTTCTACGGTCAAAAATATTCTTAAACATTGATTTTATAAATATTCCTTGATTTTTATAAATATTCGCCTTCAAACCTATTTAAAAATATAATAATTTATTTCAAGTTTATTTGCATTTTTTAATAAACAAATAATCGTTCATCTTCATGTACTTTCAATTGGCTTTTTATTTTGAATAAGTAACATATCACAATTGGTATAGTGAAACTTGCAAGTATGAGGTGACAGGGTCGAATCTCGTGTGTGACACTTTTAAAAACACACACGCATGCACGCACGCGCGCACACACACACATGGTTACTTTTGGGTTTTGCAGTTGCAGAGAATATAAGAAAGACAAGAGGCAGAATCCGGAGTTCACATCGAAACCGCCCGTCCACCACGCCTCCGATTTACACCCTTCTTCCATTATTATATGTTCGAATTTGCTTGATTTCACCATCACAAAACAATTGTCTACAAATCACCATGGTCTCAAAATCCAAATCAAACCAATAACACTTTCCAATCGGAAAACAAAGAAGTTGAAAACTGAAGCAACTTGAAATTGCTACAAATTCGAACGGAACCCACTCTATCCCGACCACGAGCAGCTTCTCCGATGAACAGGTCCTATGACCTTCATCATGCTGTCATGCAAACAGCCAGCGACCGCGCGATCCAACCTTGGAGTTTCAATCCACCTGCTCTGATCCGCACCAAAGGACACTGACTGGTATTCTCCGTCGTCGTGTATTTTATTTTTTTTTGGCTTGTCAACATTGTGGATTTATGTGAGTATATTTCTATATGTTGGTATTTGTTTGGTTTTGGAATGTGAAAGAAAAGGGTTGCTTTTACAGTAAGAGACGTACAGGAAAAGGAGAAGGAAGGGATATAATATTTCTCTTTCTGATGGCTAATCATGTTATTTTAGTTTATTTTTATTTTATTATCTTAAAATCATGGTCACGTGTCTCTTTTCTATTGAATGACAATTGGATTGAAGGATTAAGACAAATTGAAAAGGGGCTTGCACGGTCAGGTTTATATTTTGGCTCACTATATTCTTATGTTTTTTTTATTTAGTTAATATAATTAGGATTTGGTTATCATTTGGGCTTTAGGCCCTTTTAGTCTATCTTTCTGCTAAATATATTCACCTCATTCTAATTTCACCCCTCTAACCTTAGAACATTTGTTTTATTTTATACTATATGATCCTGTTTTATTTAGTTTAAGATTAATTAATTAATTAGATTCTATTTAGATTAATTTAGTCTAATTTAATTTCTCATTAAAAACACAAAAAAAATATGTTTACTTTTTAAATTAAGGTAGTCATTGTTTTAATTAATTAATTTGAATAATTTGTACATATTTTAAATCCTTGATTAAATTTCACCTTTTTTTTAAATCAAAATTGCTTATATTTTTAAGTAATTCGTCACCTTTCACCTAATTCAGATATTTCTCAAACAATTATTTCACACATCCTATGAATAATGGGATGTCCCTCTTCGAATAATTAAATCGGTCGACACATCATCTAACGGTTTATTATTTAAAATTAAATATTAAAACCCACACAATTCCAAATATTCCATCCGTAAGCGACATGTGGCCAATATCTGGTCACATGATGAGGAGGCTATATCAGACTCCCCCGCTTTGCGTCTTAAAACAACTAACCAATCTCAAATCATTTTTTACTAACATAACAATCAAATTCAAGAACATTTTTCAAAAAGGATTAAATAGTATCCTCTTCGAATCAAACTATGAACTGCATCTATGATCATTCAACTTACAACCCAGAAAAGGGTCAAGATTAATTCGAAAGCAATTCTATGCATTCTTATAAAAAAACACCAACCAACCGCGATCTACGAAATGAGACTCTGATTCCTCCTAAGAGGATACGTAGGCATGCGATTAAAATCGTGGTGAGTCCCCCTAACTAGAATTAAACCCGTCTTCCCTAATAAAAGAATAAAAACCATATTTCTTAAATATCGCGCTTCTAAACCTAGTATCCTTGTGAACAAGGTAGATAAGGGGTGCCTAATACCTTCCCCTCGTCTAGAACCAAGTCCAAATCTAGAGTCTCTGAACTTTAGGGTTATTCCTTTATACTCCATTCCTTTAGGATGAAAATTAAGGGTGGCGACTCTGATTTAAAAACAAGTTGCAACAGTTGGTGACTCTACTGGGGACTCAACCCTAGGTTTAGAGGCCTTGTCTTTCAGTTTTAGAGTTTTCTTGCTTATTGGGTTTTATTTCTTGCTTATTTAATTATTTATTTATCTACTTTTTATTTTTATTCATTATCATATTATATCTGTGGTGGGATTTAATTTTCGCAAAAATATTTTTTTTAAAAAAACTTTAGAAAGAAGGTTCGTCTATCAACCAAGGGGTTACATCAACCCTACGATTTTATGTGACGACTTCGCCTAGATTCGATGGAATTCCGCAAAAGGAATACCTCTCAAGAGACATCCTCTTGGGAAGTAGTACTTTGGAATGACACATATGACTCTTTGTACGGCCTTTAAACCAAAAACTCATGATGAGACCTTTCACGACCTAGAGACGAAAGTTTCGGTCTGTAAAAGGACTCCGCTTAAGGGAGGCCCTTAAGCCTTTCCCTCTAGTGTTATTCATGATACCCTTAAGGAAACCACCTTATAGGGAGGGTAGAATATCCGTAGGACAATACTAATAACCTAACTTATAAGGACACCTTTCACAAATCCCACTACAATCTTTAAACACGCAATGGTTATCTTTTCACCCACTAATATCTATAGCCCGTAGGGATTTCTTCTTTGCTGTAATCCCTATCCTATAGGGACTCTTCATTGGCCATAATCCAAATGGAATTCCTACCTGTCTAAATCTCTAAGACAGTGTAGGATATCATCAAATATATGTCTATTACCATCTTCGTCCATAAGGAGTCCCTGTCTGTCTCAATCTATGAGTTTGAGTAGGATATCATCATTAAACTTGTATAGAGTACCCCTATGTATATCATTATACTACTTCCACACCACATTGCATATCCATGAAAAAAATTTGCATACCTAAAAAATTATTTTTGCATAACCAAGTATTTTCATACATTTACATTTCCATCCATTTTCACAAAATCATTTACACTTCCACCTTTATCCAACTATCATCCAGCTGGCAAGATTCTCGATACTCGTAAGCAAACTCAAAACATGTCTCAAGAAGCCATGTAATAACTCAAAAGAGACCAAGATATGTTAAAGGAGGAGGTCCTCCAATTGAAGACTCAAATGAACTTGATCATGCAACTATTACTATGGAGCGAAGGCAACCCTTTGTCATCCTGGCCACAGGTCTATTCAGCACCGCAGATGCCGCCACCACGGGAAATTCCCATGCCTCAACAACAACTACAACAACCCTATCAACAGAAGGTATATGCCCAACAAAGGAAAAGACAAAATCTATCACCTAGGAGATTTGATCCATTTCCCATACCGCACAGTCAACTGCTACATCATTTGCTCAAGGTATCCTTGGTAGAGTTGAAGCCACTTGTTCCTCCAATCAGGGCACTCCCACCAAAATATGATACAAATACAAGGTGTGAGATCATGCCAATTCCATGGGGCATATTATAGAAAAATGTTGGGCTTTCAGACACAAGGTCCAAGACTTGATCGATAATAAGCAGTTGACTTTTGAAGAAGGGGTCTCATCGGCAAATGGTCGCCCTTTCCTTGACAAATCCAAATACTAAAGAAGAATTCCCTAAAGTCAGTGGGTCAACAAGAAGGCTTATCCCTAGATAATTAGGCCTTTATCATTTCATATTGTAATTTCTTTCTTGGTAAGTGTTATTTGTTATAAATTTGTACCTTTTGGTTTGTAATTCTAATAAAATAAGCATGCATGTTTTTGAAATTGATTCATTTGTATCCACTCTTCTATCGCTTTCCACAAATAATCAATGACTTGCCATTTTCACTCTTCTTTTTCTATCTTCCATTTTCAAATTAACAAACTTCAATGGAGAATGAGGAAAATGCAAAACAATTAAATTTTGCTAACGTATGCTTTTAAATAGTAAGGCTTAGCTGACGATGTAAGGCATTCTTTCACTTCCTAAACAGTGAAGAAATAAGGTGTTAATACATAGTTAAACCCCTCGAGCCAGAAGTCGGAGTTCTTTCTATTCTCTAAACAACCCATAATCTTAACCAGGGGCAAGGTAGATTTCAATTAATTCTATGATGCATTCAAATCCCAGGAGAATCAAAACGATCTAAGCAAAGGCTCAAGCATATCTCTTTCCTCGATACATCATCGAGAGAACAATCTAAGCAAAGGTTCAAGCATATCTATTTACTCGATACATCATTGAGAGAACAATATAACCAGATATTCGAGCATATCATTTTCCCTGCATTCATCATCCAAGATTGAGGAATCAATAAAAATAAAGTCCACGACGTCTTTCTTCCACAACATATTAATCAAGATCGAAGAAACGATGAAGACGAAGCTTACAACAATCAGCATGGCAGTCATAAATTTTCAAAACCAAAAGCGAAAAAAAGAAATTCAAAATAAAAAAGTGAAAGCCCGCTATGTCAAAGAAAATCAAAACTTGACTTAGGCAAAAGTTAGGGCATCCCGATGGATAAAAAAAAATTCAAAAGAACTGGTCCATGCAAAAATAAGGGATTGAAAACAATAAACTGAAGAACAATCTTGTGACTGCCACCTAAATAACAATCAAGGATTTTCATCAATGCTTGGATCTTATCAAATGCTTGGATTTATTCAATGCTTCTCATAAATGCTTGAACTTTATCTACACTTCTCATCATCTGCGTGACTACGAAATTTCTCTTGGAGATTAAATGCATTTGTTGCATTAATTGAAATTAGGACTGGAGAACATCAAGGAGGATGGGGTGGGCTAAACAAATTTTGAGCCTTATATCTTTTATTTCTTAAGCCACGAACCATGTCCACGTTACAACCTTTAAAAGTCCTAATTGAAGCTAGGTTCACTATGAAAGCATACTCAGCAAGATTTATGTTAAAACTGACTCTTATGTTTGTTAAAATTATTAATCACTTTTCTTCTTCGAATATCTATTCATAATCATCCATTTCTTTTCAATAATCAAACTTCGATTTAAAGAAATTGCATGTACATCTAACGGAAATACTTTTAAAAATGTACAATCTTATATATGAATCAATACTTAGCATCAAGGAGATTTCAAAAAGGTCTGATCAAAGGCAATATTTCCAAGAAGCTTCTAACTAGGGGCAAAGCATCTAAGAGGGCCCCTATAAACAGGGGCAAAGACTAATGATCATAGGGGTATATCACACGAAGATACTATTGACAAGGGGTGATCATTCCAAGATTTAATCAACTTGGGTCAAATTTAAGAGCACTGTTTAATA